GTTTTTTTTTTTTAACTTGTTTTTCTTGCTTTTTTGAAGATTTTTATGTTAGCTTTCAAGTATTATTATTTATTATAATTAATTTTTTTTGACACACATGAACGCTTCCATTACCGCCATTACTTTGTGCATTTCTTTTTTTTTTTACAATGGAAGGAAAGTAGCTACTCTTGCGGTAGCTTTTGTTAAAAAAAGAAAAGTTTGGTTTCAAAGTTTTTTCTTCTCAGTGATTATTATATACACGTTTTTGAGGACTAGTTAGTCAGCAACCGAGGTAAAGACAAAGGAGCCACTGGAATATTTTTTTTTTTTTTTTTTTTTTTTTCCTCTTCTCCTCTCTCGTTGTGAACCTGAGGCCTGGCGACGGGTTCATTTTTTTTGACGCGCACGCAGATATGCACATTCGACCTTTGACCTCCGCGGTGTTGGTTGCAGGCCGCCGCTGCTTCTCCAAAACCCCTCTATGCCTGCTGGCAACCCGGGAGCAAAGGCTGCAAAAACGTTAGTGGCCTCTTTACATTATAGTCAGTGGCGACGTCAGCCTGCCGTACAGTTACAGTCCACCACCACAAGAAGAAAAGAAAACACACACACACACACACTCCAGCTACGTCTTATTATTTATGTGAAAATATAAAAACAGTTTTTTATTTCTCAGAAGGTGAAAAAAAATAATTAGTAACTACTTTTCTGGGTCAGATCACATTGGTCTTTGTTGTGAAAGGGATATTACAGCATGTAGAACATTTTCAAAACAACATCCAGAATTTGATGAAGGCTATAATAATAATTCTAATAATAAAAAAAGAGTTTATGGGTTAAGGTGGTAACTGAAAATACTTGATGTTTGTTGAAAGATTTAAAAAAAAAATAATTCAAAGTACAGAAAGCCACAGGCCTGTAAATTTTATTTGTAAAAAAAGCAGTTCTATTTTTATACAACATTTTTACTGCCTCAGATGAAAAAAAAAAGGATTTTATTTATTGCCTATCGTTAAGTTATTGGACTCCTATAAAGTATACAGCATCATTAAAGTAGACCCTTGTGGAGAAGTCCCGTGGAATTGGGTTCTCCGGTGTTTTTCATGTTTTTTCAGTGCAGAAACCACAATCACGACACGCCCCCGCCCCCCCGCCACCATTCGAGCCGCACCGCCCTCCCTCCACCCTCCCTGTGTCATTTATCCATTCACACGCATCTCTCTGTGCTGTTCACCCATTCATCCATCCATCCGTCCACCTCTCTCTCTTCCCACCGCTCTCCCTCTCTCTCCATCCGTAGTGGGACTACTTCTTCACTTGTCGAATTTCTACCTTTTTCCTCGCGTTTTTTTTCGTATTACTTTTTCTTTAAAACTTATTTTTATTTTTTGGTTTTCAGTGTTTTCCGTTTTTCGTTTGTTCGTAGCCCCCTCCTGCCCCCACCTTTCTAAGGATTAAAAAAAGATAAAAAGATTCAGAAGAAAGAAATGAAAAGACTGACCCCCATCCTCCTTTCCCCTCCCCTCAAAAAATAGGACTATTTTCTCCCAAATGACATCCATCTGGGATCTGATGGATAAAGCTTTGGGTGCTCTCTGTTTTTTGTGTATATGTGTGTGTGTGTGTGTGTGTGTGTGTGTGTGTGAGTGAGTGAATGTGTGAGTGTGTGTGTGGTGTTGCCTGTTAGTAAAGACCTATAACATTATATCATTTAAAAAAACAAAAAACAAAATCAAAGCTAAAAAATTGCCAATGAAATCAGTGAGTGGTGTTGCTGTTCTGCCGGTTTGCATTGTTGTTGTTGCTGTTGTTTGTTTGTTGTTGTTTGTTGTTGTTGCTGTTGTTGTTGTTTCTCCTGATTTTACAAAAAAAAAATGCTGTAGTGGTGTGGTGCTCTGGCTCTCTGTGTGTAACTCTCTCCTCTCCCCTGTTTTTTCTTTCCCCCTTTTAGAACAACCCATCTCCATGCCTGTTAGCTCATCGTTTGCCTAGCATGTCTCCGTGGCGTCCCCCCCCCCCAAAAAAAAAACTTTAAACAAAACAAAAACAAAAAAAAGATCCCCACCAAACAAAAAAAAGTGTCATCGTCCTCCTCCTCCTCCCCCGTCATTGTTTTTTCTGATGTCTTTTCCGAGCTCACCTGATCATAACCTGGTTCTCCTCCTCCTCCTCCTCCGCCGCCTACTGACCTTTTGAACTTTGAACTTTTAGCTTTTTTGGACTTTTTGATTTTTAGGATTTTTTTTTCTCTTTTGTTTGTTTGTTTTGTTTGTTTTTTTGCATGTGACCTCATTTGGATCTGTTTTCCGGGAGGGTTTCAGGGAGGGAGTGAGGCGATAAGGGAGGGGTGGGTAAGAAAATGAATCAATGTGAAAAAGATATAAAGCTGCATTCATATGAAAAACAAAAAAGACTGCGATTTTTATGGAAAAACAAATGTTCTTTTTGGAGAAAAAAAACAACAACCTGTGGCAAAGTGATTTCCATTCAGAATGTTTTCTTGCATTTTTGTTTTGGTTTTGTTTCTTCTTCTTTATGTCAGTTTTTTTTCTTTCTTTTCTTCTTCATTTAAAGTAAACTTGAAAGTTCACCACAGGAATTGGCGCGTCATCTTGCTTCTGGCGCCGATGAGAAACAGAGCGCGGGCCAGAAGCAGTCCGCGCCAGTTTCTCTGAGAAATAAGACTACTTCCAAACAGTTTTGAGTAAAAACTGTCTGATCAATATTAGACTCTCTCAGAGCTCTCCAATGGTTTTTACATTTTTCAGGCAGTGTAAAGTTTTTTGATAAGGCCATTTTAAGTGGCTCTGTTTCTCATTCAAAGTCTATATATAGAACCACTTTTTTCTAGAGTAGTTTAAAGGTAAAAATAAAAAAGACATTTGCCCTGTTTGGGTGGGAGAAATGCTACCTACTTGTGTCACCTTTTGCTGAACTGACTCACAGATAGACAATCCGTGGTTTAAATGCACATGATGAAATGACCTATATTTTCTACTGTTTAAATGTATAGAGGAAAAAAAAATACTAAGATACCTGTAACCTGCGTTAACGTCGGTGCTTCTCGTGAGTTTAGTTGTGGTTTCATCACAAGTCTAACGGTCTTAAATGTTCTCATGTTTTTCAAGAGAAGACTAAAAAATCAGTTTACTTGAACAATAGACAAAGCCTTTCATATTACTATAATAGTTACTTTGTTGTTTTTCTTTCATTTTTTTTTCTTCTTTTTTTAAGGAGTCCCTATTTGCTAAATTTCTTGTTGGTTAATTAGCTATATAAAATTCCTAAAAATATATATAAATATAAATATATCTATATATATATATAATGTCAGCTTGTGAAGCATCAATGTCATTATTATTTTATTTCTCTCGTGGGAAACAATATTTAGATGTGTTTTGTTGTTCAGCAAAATGTCTTATAAAGAAAAAAAGACAAGATCAGTGGAGTTTAGTGCCAAATTCTGAAGGTACTTCCTGCCTAGCGCGTCAGTGTATTTCTTGTGAAATTATTTGATAACATGGGTATTTTATTATAAGTGTTTTGTATGGATCCCTCATATTTAAAATATAGATTTAAAAAAGAGTTTGTTAACTTGCTATTCTGTGGTCTTGTTGCCTGAAAATGTCATGTTTGCTTTTTTCTTTGTAAAGATGTAAAAAAAAAAAAA